ATCCAGCTTTAATATTAGAGGGGGGGCGGGCCCTTTAATAATAGGGGGAAGGGATTAATTTGATGCTGCAAAAAGCTGCTGCATCACTCGTGCCAATAAGGTCTAGTTTGGAAGCCATGCTCTTCGTAAGTGTCGGCATGCAGCATTCTACATGCCAGGCAATGAACTGAACGGAACTCATGGCGTGCTGCCATGGGTGTCAAATCACGAAAGAATGGTTCTTGACCCCGTCCTCGTAGGCTATGAGTCTTTCCACCACTTGGTTGTACGAGAGGTTGCCCAACACTTCGTGCGACTGCGTGTCCTGGCCGATCTTTCAAGAGGCACACCTGCACGCCCGCCAAATGCTCGCAAACGCGCACAGGCTCGCACGCTCGCACGCCCGCACGTACTGTCTAATGCCTACATACACACAGACGCACACTTCTTCAACTGCTGCTTCATGCATCACATCTCCATCATGCATGCAAAAGCAATCCTCCTTTGCAATGATCCAGCCATGAAACAAAGCGATGTCCAGCCTTTCTGGCAACTTGCCGCACGAGATTTTACAGCTTCAGATGTGCGGCATGAAGTCCTAATTGCAAGAACCCCGACAGCCCCGAACTCAAACCCTAGCCCTAAACCTGGTGCAAGGACTACAATGAATTCGCACACCACGAGTGGACCTGCTGGCTGACCCTGACGGGCATCTAAGGTGCCAACATGTCGAACACTGTGGTTTCCTGTGTGTACTCAAAATCAGCCACACCTTCCAGGCAGCAACGCTTGAAAAACAGCACAGATCGATGCTCATCGGAGAAACTGTTTCTGGGTCCATCTGCACGACGAAATGCCAGAAACTATCTTGTCCCGATTTGTGACCATCGGGAAACAGACGGAGGACACGACTGGGCCCGGTGAAGAAAATGACGACAAACTGCGACTACCAAACTGAACACCCGCCAAAGAAGCGTCCAACTGCACAACAATTGCTTGCGTCCGTCCGCGCGAAGATGCTGTAAATTTCCATGTCGGCAAAAGGGTGATTTGAAAAAGGACCTGTGCTCTCCTTCCCGTTCCAATTGTCATTAGTTCAGGTCAAATGTCGCCCAGGATGTGCCATCTGTCAACTAATGAAGTGCAAGGCACGACTTCAAGAGGGAGAGCAGATCGTGAGCCTCCAAAGCGGCAGTTCACATCCAAACCGACATTGAGTTTTGGCCTCGGCCAGAATGACGCGGCTCGGTGGAAAAACACAGCGGCTGAGAACGTCTGCAGCTCTGAGGCGTTCTCAATACTTCCAAACACGAATTCAGACTTTCTCGAAGATTCGCAGCTCGTGAACCTTGACTCACTTGCACAAACAGTGTTTTGCCTGAGCAAGATCCATCTCAAGCTAAACTAACACGCTGGGGCAAAAACTGTCGCCACCACCTGGACTGCACATCGCGCACAAGCACGTCAGCATTGTCAGTCATTTGTGTAAGTTCTCAGTTGCGTGACTGTCTTTGGAATTGGCTTCGAAAAGCCAATCCGACACCATCTGGACCAACTCCATGAAAGTGACATACCTGACAGTTGCTGGCATCAAACTAGCTGAACTTGTTGCTCACGTGCTGATGATATACCAGTCCATGGCCTGAGGTCTGGGTTGATCTTCAACACGTTACGCAGCAGGAGAACCTCAGTGCTCAAACTGTGCCTGCAAAGCAGCGATAACTGTGAAAATGACTCAAAGCAACAAGCCAAAGGTGGCGACATTGCAAATGGCAAGGAGGGGACAAGGACCGTTCCTGCGATATGCGTCGCAGTTCATTGTACCTCACAAAACTCTCAACAAATCCGAGGCATAGGCTTGCTCTGCAAAAGAATACGGCGCTCGGCTCCAAAGAAGATGATATCCTGCAGTGAAACTCGTCACCGTTCTATTGAAGTCCACAATGAACACCTTCACCCGGTAGTTGTCTGTGCTGTCGTCTTCCATGCTAAAACAAAGCGGCTTGCGTCTTGGCGTCTTATACTGTCGAGGCGGCAGTTCGATGAGGTGTTTATCTATCAAATCGCATCTAAACACTGTCTTGCAGCCCTAAGATCTTGTTGAAATGCATCTTTCTCAATAGCGGGTGCTGTAGTTGTTTCGGGCAAGGTCTGCATTACTTGCCTCGGTGCGAAGTGGCCGCATGACATACTACAAACATCTCAGGTACTAACCAAACACATGCACAACATGATGAGTTCTATGCTCCACTGCGGCCAAATGAATGTGCTCAGGCAAATTCAGGACACTGAACTCAACATACATGGCCCATGGCATCAAATCCGCATGTGGTTAGACTCCTTTCACGGGGCCCTTCCGCGGTGCCCGGTGGTTCGGCCGAATCTCCCCTACGCCAATGCCACACAACACCAGCACGCCACTACACCGCAGGAGATGGGCTTTTGGGTCCATGTGGGTCCTACGCTTTCAGAGTACCAGAAAAGCCAGAAGCGGATCAGATCCGAAGTTAGCTTGGCTCAGCGCCCTCTTTGCCTTTTTTCTGTCGGTGCTCCGGTCGTGCCACTTTCTCAGCTTTGCGACAGAAAAAGAATGATGGGTATCACTGCAACCTCGCTCTGAGCACCTTCAGTGTCAAAGCCACCTCAGCCCGTGCATCAAAGGCAAAGCGGCAAGGACCGAATTGCACCGGCCTGCAAGCGCTGATCCTCGTCCAAGAAGCTCAACTCCATTGCCTCCCTCAAAGGTGAAGGGAAGGAAAAGTGCCAACACGGTCCCTGGGCAAAGCCTGCACAAGACATCGCTGAAGCGCAGCACGAGGCTGTCTTGGCTAGCTCCAAAGCTGATGTCCACAACCTTCGATTGGACAGCACTAGCTCACTAGCTACACCAGCTCGGGTTGGGATGTACTGGGGCGGCACCTGGCTCAGAGGCATCCGTATCTGCTGCCGCTGCCCTCGGCCAGAAGAAGCATTCTCAGCAAGAAGCTGCAGTTGTAGAGGTGGCTTGTCCATGCCTGTCTCAGCTCCCACATGCAGCTCCAACGTCTTGCAGTCCTACAAAGTCCGTGCTGGCGAACTGACAACGAAATCGCATCACACAGGGTCCTGCGAAATGCCCAGCCTGTAGTCTGCATCCTGAAGAAAAATGTCAAACCCAGTGCCACCAACATGCAAGCACGGGAAAGGGAACTCTGCCTTCTGCGGAACTCGAACAGGAACGCCCATGGCCAAGATCTGCAAGGTTTGATCCTCAATGCAGAGAGTGACATACAAATCAGCAAACATACCTCGGCCGAGATTCCATTCACATCTTGGGCCAGGACTACTACACGCTGCGCCTGTCAGATCAGCGACCGTGCATCTTGCCAGCTGGAGAATGACTCCCTGTATGTGCATGCGACGAATATGGCACGCTGATACAGACAGCCTGCCATTGGATACGCATGCTGCATTTTCCTACATTGCCTGCTACTTGATTCGCCGAAAGACTTTGTCCGCTTCTGCCTGCTGAAGCTGCTTCTTGCTTTGGGCAGGTGTCCACCTCACATGCTTCACCCCAACCTGAAGGCCTCTTCGCGGCACTCCATCGAATCTAAGACTGCCGCGACGTCGTCTTGACCCTGGCAGAACTTTGGACCAAAACTCGAAATTGCCGACAGACGGACAAGGTTGAGCCGGCGGGGCTCGTGGAAGCCCTTCATGCTTCGCGTGCTCTCCTTCGAACCTCTGAGGGCCGCCGACAACTCACTAATCAGCACTCTATCATCCGATTGCTTCAGGGCCCGCACACTGCTGGCTACAAGCAAGGACCTGTGACAGCACGTGAATCTTGCTGTGCCCGCTCTCTACGGCGTAGACAGCAGCTCTAGAGGGCTGGCTTACAAAAACCCCAGTAGTCAGCCCGAAAGGAACGGGTCCGACCCGAGACATGAAGCTGTGCGACGACTTGCGACTTTATTCGATGCTGCGAGGTTCTTTACACTTTCCCAGTAACACTTGGTCCCGGGCAGCTTCTGTCCGACAGTCACCTCCATTCGGCCTCCCAAGGGCCACTCGGAGCACAACCGCTGCAGTAGGTTCAGCTTCACTAGGGTCACAAAGAGCTTCGTGCACCAAAGAAAGGAAGCCTGCCGAAACCTGTCCTAGTTGGGCTGCCGCAGCTTCCGCCAAGGCAAGAGGAGCCTGGAAGAGCTTGGTGAGCTGCTAGCACAGGAAGTGGCCAGCCCTTGGCGACTCATGCTCGTGCTCTGAACAGCTATCGAAGATAACTCTTTGTCCAGTTGTCCAAACGAGACCAGCCACAGTTTCCGGTCCAGTAGTTGGCGCATGGTGGCTTATAGTGAGGTTTCTCATGCCTGGCGGATCCAGAGTGTTGGTTCCTACAAGGATGGGATGTGCTCTGAGCAGTTGGAAGCTGTGCCTTTCGACTGGCCTCGGCGTCCTCGCCTGCTGACTGGTGCTCCTTTCTCCCTTCCACCGGATCCACGAAATCTGCACGACATCTTCAAGACGGGAGCTCCGCGAGGCAGGGGAAGGAAAACTGCCCTTTTCTCGTGTTTTCAGGTAGCCGTCTTGGAGAGTTCATGGCGTTTGCGCAGGGGAAAAAGAACAAGCAAACGGACTGAGTATCGACAGTAGGAAAAATTGGTGACGCTCAGAAGAGCTCCAACGCTGCCGAAACAACGAGAATGATCGGACAGCGGAAAACATCGCATTTCCACTTCCGTGATCAGCAATACGGTCCGATGCAGTGGCGCTCTGCCCTGTTCAGTCCAGGTCTGGTCCAAAGACAGACAGACTGACAGACAAACAAGATGACTGTGCCAGCATCGAACCCCAGAGAGCGAAACCAAGAAATCCCAAGAACGATGCCAAGAGCACGCCCTCAGGCTCCCAAGACCACCCCACGGGTCCAATGCGCGGCAGGCACACGAGTCGCACCTCAAGCCTATCCAAACTATGCACCTGACTTTGGTGGTAGCACGATTCCTGGAGGCGGCCAGCAACGATTTCGAAAATTCCAAGGATCCTCAGAACGGCGGGTTTTCGAGAGCACGCCAAGCCTTCACCAAGCAATCCCGAGATTCCGAATAGTGTAGCCGTGCTTGGATTTTAGCGGCTCCGAAAGATTATGAAAGATTAGAAATCCAAAATGAACACGGGACTATGGCTGGAGTGCGAACTCCACCCAAAGGCCCCCAAGAACCCGCAAACACTCAACATATTGGAGTTGCAATCGGTGATCGTGGTGGACGGGGCCACTGACGAGAAGTTCTGATGATGCTTCCCCCCTGGTGGGGGGAGAAGGATGGGGCAGGTGCCAATGAAGACACCCATCCTGAACCATTATATAGGAATGGGACGTCAGTCCTAAGTACCTGCACTTGTTTTCCATGAACCATCAAATGAGATTGCGTCGGCCTGCTTCACAATTCTCATCCAACTACGGTGTGTAACGAAACTCCTGACCTGCACCAAGTGGATGTCTGTTGCTGCCCAGATATCTTAGGTTTGTGTTGTATGTTCACCTTCGCATTTTCTGTTCTACACACTTCTCCCGACTCTATGATAGTTGACAGGAACCCCGAGAACCGTACCGAGCTGGAGACGACTCTGAAATTCTCGGTAGTACGCCACACGATGACGATCGATTGATCTGCGACCGGCACTGCCCGACATCAATCATCTATCATTGAAACCTTTCTTGGACAACAAAGCTCCTCTCCAGGACCGATTAGGACAAGACCTAGGTCCGGATGGCCGAGTGTAGCGTCTGATGGCCAAGCTCAGATCAAAATGCCTACAAGTTCATATTCATTGTATGACTGTCATGTCGGACTATCACATTCAGTCGAACAAACAAGGTGATTCTTGTGACAGTCAGAAGCGGCCCCAGGCTCTCAGTGATGGCACGTAGCCAAGTTCCAACTCGCCAGTCGCCAGGTCTTCAAACAAAACGAAAATCCACAAGCGGTTCGTGCCAGACAACGTATTTCACTTGCAGGTGAGCTCACCTTGACTAGCAAATATAGCAAATGTTGCTTCCGCAATCTGGAATTTATGAGAAGGCTTTGGCCGCTGGATTTCCGAAGTGCAGCACAGACTCGATGAACATGATTTCACACACAAAGATTGCGATCAGATTGCATCACTGGAAAGATGCTGCAGTGCTGCGCAGCGGCCATGTCAAAACTTCACAGACCGCATCTCGGGAGAGCGCCCATCAGCCGGCGCGGGGCGGCCCGCCGCCCACGCGGCCCGGGGCCCACATCCTGGCTGAGCCAGGACCTGCCCTTTCAAAGGGATCTTCTGAAGTCTTGCACTCCTCCCTACAGATGCGGATTTGCTGTGTTTTTCCGTCTCGCAGGCTTATGGCTGCACGAGCTGTGTGATGTTCCCTGAGGGAACTGCAGACAGCCCGAAGAAGCAGCAAATCCATCATTCCGCTACACAATAAAATATCATGCAGATTCAGCGTAGCTTTGCGCATGAAGAGAAGGCATTCAGCCAATTCTATGATGCAGGATGACGACGAAATGGTCTGCCCGTCAATTTCGACGGGGGCCCATGAGCCGCACTCCTAGAAGATGTTGCCTTTTGAAGCGCCTGTACTGAACTACTGCTTCAATTCAAGCAACGAAAGCTAAGCTAAAGACTCTTGTCCTAACAAGCAGGAGTGGCCAACGGCGGTGTCGCTGAAGCCGTGCCTCAAAACTGCATGGGCGCGCTGCTCGCCCTCGAAGACACAATTGACCGTGTCGAGGTGCCAAACGGCTCGACCCACCAGCTGGGCCAAAAAGGCAGGTGCGGCCTGGATGGCGAACAACGACTTCTCTCATATCTCATACTGACCACATGTCTTTGCAAGACTGAGCTGCGAACTCCGTCAATGAATTGCACGTCCAAGCTGCCTTGTGATCCGCAGCTTTCCAGCAGAAGAGACTGACACCCGATTTCAGCGAGGACCCCACAACGTCTGGACCCGCACCCTCGTCCGCACGGCTCACACTTGCCGCGACGTAACCTGTGCCAACTGGTCAGATCATAACAACTTCGAGTGTAAAACCTCGCTTCTGATCAAAGTGGCCTGGGGCCACAGAAGCCCACATCGATTCAGATTGGTCTTCAGCCACTGGGAAGTCACAACCTGTCATCGCATGCGACACACCTCATCGATTCTGAGCATGTCACACAGGATACAGCCTTCGCTCACAGCTCGCGGTTCCTCCGCACGTGTGCGTTTTTCCAGGTCGTCCACCCAAGACTGCATCCTGACAAGGAACTCTTGTCTGACAGTGCATGTGACAAGTGATTGCTTTCTTGGCACCGAGCCGGTTCACAGCATCATCTGCAGGGTTTAAGCTGGCAGACCTGCGAGCGACATCGCGCACCTGCAAGCTCAGAAGGTTGCTGCTTACACACACACACACACACACACGCAACGTCCAGCACTGCCATTGGGATTTTTTAGCTGCAGGAAGCTGCCTCTTCGTTGGGGTTGCCGTGCAACCTCTCATGTACCGATCATGCAGCCGATCAGCAGCGTTCATCAACACGTGCCACTAAGCGGATCGACTGTTGAACAGCGGCTTTCATTGCCAGAACGTGAGCTGGACCTCAATTGACTTTTTGCACATACTCTGGTCGCAAACCTGAACATCATCTGAGAATGCAGCCAAGGCATTCGTCGGATAGCAAGTGATTCCCAAACAACCCAGCAGCTTTTTCCAGCCTGTCGCCTCGCGATTATGTTGGTCGGCTTCTCCCTGCAACAACAACCAGACCATGCTATGAAACCAAAGGGCAGTGCGCTGCCAGAGCTCCCACTTGCTCTCGCAGCCTAAGGACCTGCGATCTTGCGCATCGTTGTGCAATTCTCAATGCCAAAGTGTGGTGAACATGCATTGTCGGCCTTGTGCCGAGCCTCTGTCAGCCCCCCAATCGCACCGACAGTGACGGCCTACACCACACTGCTTTTCTTATTCAGGTCGTACTGGGGCTTTCGACATGTACTTCAAGAAACGAGAGACGAACTCGCCGAGGCGATGCGAACGCGTGCCGGGCAGAGACAAGCGCAAAGTTCACAAACGTCAGGGGGACTGGTTTACTTGTACTGGTACTCGTGCTAGTACATCTAGTAGTAGTAGTAGTAGTAGTAGTAGTAGTAGTAGTAAGAGCCGAGTAGTAGCTGCAGAAGCAACAGCGAGGTGGCTGCCGTTTCCTGGTGCCTATTTCGGAGTAAGCTCCAGAGTAAGTCCGGAGTGAGTTCCACTGAATTGGGAGTGAATTCCGGGCTGAGTTCCGGGGCGAATTTGGCTGCCACGGCTGACTTATTATTCCGGTGTAAGTTTCGGCTTCCCTGCGACTTGTGTATTTCGGAGTGAGATCCAGATTTCGGAGTGAGTTCGGGGTGAATTCCGAGATGAGTTCAGGGGTGAGTTTTGACTGCCGGGGCTGCTGTTCCCCACGGCTTGTGCATTTCAGAGTGAGTTTCAGCGTGAATTTCGGAACGAGTTTCACGCTGAGTTCACTGTGTAATGTAGAAGCCCCACAAAACGGCCGCCAGAATTCACTGCAGGACTGACTTCAGAAACAGACACACCTGTGGAATTCACCTTCCAACCCACCCTGAATCTCAAGCTGGAATCCAAAATAAATCGTGTTGACCTGCCACATGTTTCCTATCTGTAGTAGAAAGAAGGAGGGTAGGAAGGAGCAGGAGCGGAAGTTCGAGTAGGAAGTGGGAAGAGTAGTAGCAGTAGGAACCGGGGCAGTAGGAGTGGTCGTCGTCTTCGTTGTCGTCGACGGAGTCGAAGTCAAAGTCTTAGTAGTGGCACCGGGAATATGCTAAAGTAAAGACAACTTCAAGGGACTGTGTTAGATGACACTATTCCCGATGATCTCAACCAGTGTCAGAACTGTACACTGGCTCCAGACTTCGGTTGCTTCGACTGCCGTGCTCCAAGGTTTTTGAGGAAACGAGCGCAAACGAAGGCCAAAGACAAAACAAGAAAGGGAGTTTTGGCTGCTGCGTTCTGACAAGTCTTCCGAAGTTTACGCATTTGATACTGCTGCTACAGCTGAGGAAACTTCGGTCTGATGCCAGGTCCCACTGCCGCCGAAATGTCGGTGGAAGCTAGATAGCAGATCTATCCGGGGACAGGTGGGAAAGGTGCATGCACACGCAGAAAGAAACAAACAAAAGCATATACACAGACGTACTGTATGCATGTAAATACACATGCATACGCATACACAACCACGCACATGCAGTAAATGCACATGCTAACATCGTCCAGACCAGTCTTTTGTCCTTTGAATGGCCATGATTTCGGGCTGTTCAGACCATCAACGGCCAAGCATCAGCGATGCTTGTCGATGTGCACAGAAACTGTTGCACCAGCTTCCTCCATGTTCGCAACGTTTAAATGCCACAGATTGACATCGAAAGCAAGCAGATCGTTGACACAGGTTGTACCAACCTTGAGGCCGGGTGTTGAAAGAGCGGAAAAGCTTTTCACGACGGCGCAACTAGCCGCTCGCGAATGTGTTGCGCTCCCTTGGTCTTTCATGCAAGCCTGCAACCTTTCAAAACTCCTGCGAAGTACACCCAAACTTGAAATTTCCAACGAATGGCGGAATTGCTGTCAATTGCCGTCCTGCCTGGTTGGTCATACCGGAGGCACGCTCAAGGCATGGCAGGGGCTGACCTCAGAATGCCATCGAGTGCAATCTTGCATTCGTCGAGAACACGGAACGAGAATGCGGATATGCTTTGGAACTATGTTCCGCCGCGGCTCTAGCACTTCTCGCCGCGATGGCTTACACTGCACTTTCGATTCACTCCAGACTGCGCGCGATAGCGACAAGAAGAAGCCCCATTGCAAAGTCTCGAAGCCAGGACCGACTGTAGCTTACGGCTTACGGCAGACGCGGGATCGTAAACATTAGCGACCCAGATGCTTGCAAACGGTAGCTGCCTGGCTTGGGGAGCTGGGCATAAACTAAAGATCGCTAAAGGAGTTGATCCACGGCCACGGAAGACAGCCACATGTCAATGTGAAATTCCAGTCACTTTGGGCAGACAAACAACCTGCCGGAACTAGGGCCCCAGACTTTCTTCAAGAACCACGTCTGACGGTGCCACAGATGAATCTGCCTGTTGCAGGCAAGAGCGCATCGTGGCTTGTGCTGCGAACTGAGACCCCGCCGCCACATCAGTCTGCCTGCATCACACAGCACAGTGGAAAGATTCCCCCAGGACAAATCCGACAGAGCCATGGCTCTGCTGAGGATCGTGCACGAACTTGCATAGACTCGCCTGGTTGAGACGAGAGATGCTTCTATGTGCAGGGGAGCATCGATGCATACGACTGGGTGACTGCATGTGCTTGGATGCACGCCGCAGACGCCTGCATGCTTGGTGCCCTTTGCACGCTTCTCCGCATTTGGCTTTTTGCTGCCCTCATGAAGCAGAAAATTCTTGCTGTGGATGGCTACTTTCGATTCCAAGCACTCCGCGGACCACCCCGGAGCCGTGGTCGCGCCACCTCTTCTTGACCAAAAGCCGGAATGTCACATCGAACAGAGCCGTGCGCTCTGAATCTCTTGGTCAACGGCTGGCCGTGTGAGCCTTGTTTTCGGCCTTAGACTTAGACAGCTGCCCTGATCTCGAGGAAGCTGCTCAGGCTTTTCCGAATGAGGCACAGACACCACATGCTCCGAAGGACTCGCGCTGGCTGCGCTGGCCGGTGAGCGACCGACCCTCCCGTCCAACCTTATGCAGACTCCGGCGACGACGGGACTTGCTGGTCTGTGTACTCAGACTAGGGCTGCTTCTGGCATCCTGCATTCGTCACTAAAGGCTTTCTGCAAGGACAGGCAATTCTTGTTAGAAGTGTTCCCACATAGATGCTCCTTCATTAAGTTCCATGAGGTCAACGTATCCAGTGGGGGCTCGACACTCCTTGGCGGCTCAAGCATCGAAGCAGGTCGCACCGAGAACGTAGCGGCCAAGCGAAGAACGAGGATAGCGCTCCTGAGGTCATGTAGGCGACTTCATAGATTGGCACGACTGAAATCACGTGAGACTGGGCATCCAACACAATCGCCTGTGCGCTGCTCTCCTGACATCAAGCCGAGCAGCTGACCCAAGGCAAAGGACATCCTCTTTCCAACTACAGGTGCTTCCCGCCAGCCCACCACACTCTGCACGCTCTGCCTCAGAGCATGACCCTCCATTTCACTGCACCGCTTTTCAACCACACCCGCACATTTCCTTGCTGTTCGTTGTATGTCGCGCGCTGCAGACGGCACTACACACATACTCAAACAGCAAGCGAGCCAGTCTGGCAACAGGTTCGAGCAAGCAAAAAGAAGGTGTCTCAGATTGAAACGTAAGAGTATTGAGACCCTGCTTTAGTTTGTTGGACTCCCTGTTTCGCCTGGAGCTCGACGGCGTTGCCATGGCAGCATTTTAATTTGTGGCCATCCGTTCCAATACACAGACGCCGTCTCTGCTTTCTTGTGAAGTGCACATCCATTGACGCCATGTCCAGTGCTGCGACGAAGAAAGGAAAACGCACAGATGATGCCTGTCCTTCTTGCTCGTGTCAAGGGGGATCCACCTGGCTGCAGTCAGGAGCCATACAGATAACTCACTGTAACACCTTTTGCTAGCAGCGTCCCAACCGATAAACAATCAAGGACGACAGCCCCTGATCCTCGTACTCCTGGACATTGATACCTTCAATCACATGCCCACAGTTGGCGTCACAGGTGCACCAACTCTGTGCCGCACACCTCGCGGTGTCAGCCCAGCTGCCGTCGCAGCTGCTGCAGCATGCTGTGCCCGGGAAGGGCTCTGACCTGGTCCCAAAGCAGCCCTGGTGGCTGTCGCTGGCACGACTGCAACCCGACCCGTCGTGCACTGTTGTGGCTGGCACCAACGGGGCTTTGTGCTTGGAGTCCGACGCTTCCATGACCTTGTACTGCCTGCAAGATTGCAAGATCTCTGATCAGAAAGGCTTGAGTGACACTGGCACCAAGATGCAACATGCACCACCAGCAATCCTGGACCAGAAGGCATGACTCGAGCTGCATGCTCAAGCGGAAGATGCAAACCTGCACAAAGGCTATTGGCGGCTATTGCAAATCAGTCGACTAAGCTTGCAGAAAAGTGCCTGGCATTGCGACACCGGCACCGGGGTCTCGGGACATCTCGTGCCTCCGTATGCGAAACGGAAAGAGTATGGAGCCGATTTGGCACAAATTCGAGCCATGTGCGCAGAGTCTTCTTCGGGAAGGAAATCGTGTTCAGAAGAAGACGTCGACGTATGCCTTGCGAACATGGAGCGGGCCGTCAGCAGTACACACAAATGTGTAGAAAACTTGGATAAGGACAAATTTGACATGCGATGGCTTAACCGAACATGTCAATCACTCAACTCATCACTAACTTACGAATACAGGCGTTTCTGGACTCGTGTCCCATATCAAAATCAGCTTCGCGTGTCAGTGGATCAACACTCAGCTCATCTTTGCAACCCTGCGTGGAGCAGCTGCTAGTGACGGTGCATGTGCCCGCTCTGCAATGATTGCTGCATGAACTTGCAGAAGTCGCCTGGATTGGGCGGCTGTACACGCATGAAACTCCTGCAGGCATACAGACAATTACACGAAGCACAACGCACGGGCACAACGAGTCCTGCTCTGCTTGAATCATCATTGGATGTGTCAGCGGCTGAGGCCCGTCGGGCGGTGGCCTGTGTGCTTCCATGTTTTGACCAGGAAGTAGCTCTGCCTCTCGCCTGGGGATCTGCTGCGGCACATCCAACATTCTCCCTTGGCTCCGGACTGCATCGGCCCGCTGCGCACGCCCATGGAGGGCAACTCCTTGAATCGAGTGTTGTTTCGAAGGCAACAGCAGCTTGCTTTCGCAAGCCATACATGTCTTCGTGGCAGTTTCGACTCTGGCTGAGCTGTCTGAAGTCGGCCTTGCCCCCCAAGCGGTTCAAGAGAAGAGAAGAGAACCGCAAATGTTAAGAACTTGAGAGAATAGATGCGAACGGCCACGTGTAAGCAACAGCACTTGCCAAATCTATGCAGGATGTAGTCGTTGTCTTGCTCTGGCAGCGGACCGAATGGGGAGCTTGTTTGATGTGTCGACGCCGGTAAGCCTTTACGTGACTTCTTTGAACAAATGCTTCTGAGCCTCTGAGCGTCTGCGACCTTGATCTTCCGGTGCTTCAACGCTTTTTGCGGCTGCTCCCGGAACTACCTGCCCATGTCAGGTTCTAGTTGTCGTGATTGCATGCATGGGCTGTGGAATGTAGGCTATCTGATGCATGAACGCCTAATTACAAGAGCCTTGTGTTCAACCGTATGCTGGGGCGAAGGCTGGACAGAGTTCAAGAGACCGGCTTTTGCATAGAACGTCCTACTTACAAGCTCAGGACATTCTCATCGGGAATTGTTGCCACAATCCTACAAGCTACCAACTGGATAATCTACATTGCTGCACATGTTTGCCACTTTCACCTTTCTTCAGTTGTTTCACGGCATCTGGTTGCTGATGAAAACCATGTGGGACAAAAAGAGACAGATCAAAGGAAACACAACACATGGATGTATCGCCCAGAGGAAACAACGGCAGCATGAGTAGAGACAAGGGAACGCCACGGAGGGGCGACAAACACTGAATATGCTCGATATTGATTTTACAGCATGTGGCCCCCAGGCATGCGAGACAATTTCTCAAGACTTTCTTGCTCGGAATGAACGTCGCAAGCAAAAGCTAGGCTGCCAGAAAAAGAATACATCACAGCATGAAGGGAGACGGAAGGGGCAGACGAATCCCGGCTCCCGGAACGGTTCTGGTTCACGCTGCCCGGCAATCGAGACAAGGGAGGCGAAGACAGCTGGTGCCTGTGCAAGGCATGGGTGAACAATGGGGAACCAGGGAGACAAATTGAAACACGAGGGACAGAAGATCCAGCCAAACCCCGGCAAGGTGTGACCTGCGTGGACTCAATCCATATAATCCATTGCCCTGTAGAAGCACGTTAGCAACCTGGTGCTGTGCAATGCATATTTGGGACTGACTTGCGTGCTTCCAATATGATCGTGCTTGTTCTCCAGGCTGCATTACGGTTGCCTGCTGCCCAGGCATGCAACTTTGGCCGCCTGTCCGGCTGAGCAACGGGGCGCTATTTGCAGAATCTGACTCTGCAATCGAAAAGCAAAGGAGCAAAGGCCTGACCAAGGCATCGTAGACAGCGGATCCACAAGAAGCAATCTGGATTTGCTTTCTTCAGAGTCGCTGCCGCTCGAGGACTGGGCCAGCTCCTGAACGAAACCGACGAGGCAGGCGTTAGGACACAAAGCATAAACTTGAATCATGGCAGCCTCGAGACTGTGCAGACCTGACCAAAGCCGAACAAAGGCAGTTCATGCGTTTGACACGGTGACAAACTGAAGGCTTGCCTGCCAGACCCGCGGCTGTCTCAGCGTTGTCGCGTGAAAGCCTGAATCTGGCGCGCAGCGCTTGATTTCATGCCTGGGGCATGCCCGCTGATGTCGCCTCCTCTCTGACGAGGCAGCCCATGTTCCTACGAACTGACAGATCGGAGAACCCAACACATTGACGTCAACAAGCACGAGGCGACCACGAGCCTGCGAATGAAGCAGGCAGCTCCTGTCACAAGCCATCGGAGCTGCCGCCCAGCCGCCCTGCCCTCCTGCCTCATTGGGCAAACCACTGCCGTGGCCTCGAAGCGTGCCGGACCGTTCGCACTCTGCCTTGGCACTGCCTCTGCTCCGCCGGCCTGTGCGCCAGCTTTCTGTGCCGTCGGCGACTTCTTCCTCTTCAAGATCCTCCAGGTTGCTGCACTCTGCCTCCTCCTCTCCTTCCTCCTCCTCCTCCTCCTCCTCCTCCTCCTCTTCCTCCTGCTCCGCTTCCTCCTCCTCCTCCTCCTCCTCGTCTCCGAGGTCAGCTTCCTGATCAGCGGTTTGATCTGGGCTCTCGTGCTGGCCAGCTCTTACCGCAGAGCTGTCTTCACTGAGCTGGCGAAGCAGCTCATTGACCTCACGGAACAACTTCACAGCATGCAGAAGTCTTGATCCCCTCAGCAAGCTCTGAGACTGCATTTTGGGATCGCAGCATCAATGTCGCTCTCCACATCAGCCCTACTGACCATGAGGCGTCCTGCAGGAAGGTCACGCAAAACGAGGCTTCGCAAAAAAGGCAAGTGCAGTGTTTCGTCCAGGCCTTAACAAACTCAACTCACTTTGATGCCAACCAGCATGGCTGTGCATTCTGCCAGCTTGGTGTGGCTGCAGGATTTGTGGAACACATGCTTCGGCTCAACATCCTGCCTGGAAGCTTGCACAATACTTCTGCCGTGCTGCAGTGCTTGAGCTCGCGTGAACATGTGCATGCAAGCTTCAAAGTTCAGAACTTGTCCGATCGGCGGTCGGAAAAAACTGCGCCTGTATCTATGCTTTCCCACGTGACCGAGCCTGTAGCTACACTGCAGCTTATCTACACATGTCAATACCCGTGCCGATGTCACGCGTAGCTGCTGAGTACTCACCCAGGACGTTTCAGCAAGCTGCACTACTCATGAACTCTTGGAAGCAGCAGATCGAACTTTGTCGCACGATCGGCCTGAGGAGCATCTTTGGGAATCTTTGTTCCACTCCTCATCCCCGAGGCGAAAAACAGAATATCAGCTCTCTGCCAGCCCGCCTGGTTTCTGCAAAGACCCTCTGAACTCATCCTAGTGGCATGTCAAGCACGACTCGAAATGCATGCACAGGCTTCACTGGCTCGAGTATTGAACGATCTACAATCTACAAGCTCCCAAGATAAAACGGAGCCCTCTCAAGAAGCTGCCGCCGAAGCTGTACTACCTCACAAGTGGGTGCGCAAGTCCGTGAAAAACTTTGCAGGCTAGCGTTGCGCAAAGAAAAGCAGCTCTAGCACAGCCTGCTGCAGCCAAAACCCATGTGATTGCAACACCACTCCCTTTGGCTTGAGGACCTTGGTTAACACTGTGAGTCCCTTCCCTGGAAGAGCTTACCACCTTCACCTGCTCAGATACGAACCACCCTTCTTGGAGGTGGAAGTCAGAACCTGTGGTGCTGGGCACGTCACCGAAGCTCGCATCTCGCATAATTCTGTCGCTTGGAATTACAAGAGCACAACTGCCGGCCGCAAAGACTACGAAAACCGCAATCACACACGAACACCGGATCAACGTTGGATGAACTGCCGTAAGAACGAAGCAGTCGTACTCGCAGCCAAGGCGATGATGCCTTGCCAAGTCTTGGCAATGCGAATTACTGTATCTCCCAGGATAGATTCCCATCTTCGAGCCGGCCGAGCCTGCAGCACCAATCCTTCTGCTGGTCTGACCAAGAGCTTTGCTGACTTGCGCGAGAGCCTTGCCAGATCTGGATAGGCTTGGAGGATTTCTCTCACAGCCTGACGCACCCACAGCAAACTAGGAGCCCAACAATTGTAGAGTTCGTGCATCGCTCCACAGCCACGCTGCTCGTGCTTGCAACACCACTCCTGAGAGCACAGCACAGGTTCTGCCACGTTCACTCCGAAGACTCTGATGACAGGTGTCTTGTTTTGCCGATGGCCAAGACGATCCTGTACCTGGGCGCAGGCTGCGCACAACAAGAAGACACCTGGCAACTCCTGAGAGTAGGGCTGCAGTCGTAACCTGAAAGAGGAAAGAGCGAGTGCCGGCTCAAGAAGAGGCCCGAAGCGAGATGTATGCTCCAGACGTGGCGTCTCATCGCCAGGGCAACCGGAGCCCTTATGTTGACAGCACCACGCCTGCCAATAAACGGACTGCTCCAGAGGGCGCTCCCGAGTCCATGGAACAACACCAAGGCAGGGCCCGGGCCTTGCGCTGTGGAGACCATGAGGTCTTCCAGGTTGGCGAAAGGCCTCAATATCGCTTCGCGACTCTGGTGCTCACGTCTTGAATTTCGCTCCACCGAGTCTGGAGCTGCAATTAAAATCACACCCACGGTGATAGTGCTTGCAACACCACGCCTGCCAACCGAAGTGGCTAAGGGGTCAGCGATTCAAAAAGTCAGGCACAGGCCTTCTTCCCTTCAGACCAGTGCGACCTCCAGTGGTGATAACCAACACCTGCGTTAGTCGTTCTTGTGAAATTTGCAGTGCTAGCCATGCTGTTGCTGCAAGAAGCACCACAATTGAAATCGTCGTCGTCGTCAGGGCAGCCCAGGTTCAGGTGAAGGCAGCACCATGCCTAGCAGAGTGGCCCCGAAAAAGGGCTATGAAGTCTCGTTGCCCGACTTGATCTCCGGGTGTAGAATTTATTTTGGCCCT